ACCAAAATAAACTTTTGCAGAACCTCCCTTACAGCCTCGTGCACAGGAATTAGGAGAGGAACAGACAGCAACAGCAGTTTGAGAAGAAGCTCTTCAGTTGGGCTTTCAGGATTGAAATTCAAGTTCAATCACTTATTGAATAAGCTCTCGCAGCCTGTTACCTCACCTAGAAAAGAAGGCTGTTGTTGATGCCTTCCCCACAGGAATGATTCAAAGAGTAAAACTTTAATAAATACCATTATATAATACAAATAAATGTAAGTTAAAAATAAACAAAAACAAATAAATATAATAAAAATAAATCAGTAGTCCCTGGCACAGAAGGAAGCACTGGAATAAATAACATCGATTGTTATTTCTGGCTCCTGTACTCTGAGCCAAGGCGTCTGCTTATAGCTGGGCTGGCCACCTCCTGCTGATGTCTCTGCTTTATTCATTTTCTCTTTGCAGAGGATGTCAAGATAGAGCACATTATTAAATAAATTTTTAATATATGAATATTATATACACAGAAATGTGTACCTATAAATCATGTGTGCACAGCTCTATGCATTTTTGCAAAGTAAACGTATCCATGTGTTGCCACCTAAATCAAGAGACATAGCATGACCAATACCTCCAGAAACCTTGCCCATCTCTCTCCAGCCACTTACCACTCCCCTTTCCCCTAAGGTTAATGATCTATGGACTTTGAAAACAACGTATTTGTTTTTTGATCTGTATGGGAATGGAATCACACAGCTTGTTCTCTTTTGTGTTTTGGCTGCTTTTACTCAGTGTTATGTTCATGACATTCGTTCATATTGATGCATAAAAGGGTAGCTTACTTTCTCATTTCTGTATTGTAGCCTATCATGTGAATGTATGATAATTTATTTATCCATTTTCTTGTTGATAGGCATTTGGGGCTATTTCCAATTGGGCGCTGTTTTGGAGAAAGCTGCTATGAACATTTGTGTCTCTTGGTGAACGCTGGTCACATTTCTGCTGGACCTGTTCCCGGGAATTGTGACTGCAGGGCCGTCGGGTGAGGACGTACGGAGTTTTCCATGGATACTGCCAAAAGGGTTTTCTAAAGTGACTGTACTAATTTTTTCTTCCCTGAGCAATGCATGTTAAGTTCCCACTGATCCATGTTGTTTTTTTCACTTGAGCCAGTCTGACTGGTGTGTTATGATACTGAATTGGGGTTTGAATTTACTCTTTCTGAGGACTAGAAAAGTTCATCACTTTTTCAAATGTTTATTTGCCATTTTTATATTCTTGTTTGTAAACTGCCTGTTCATGTCTTTTACCCATGTTCTAGTCTTACTGTATTGTCTGCCTTTTTCTTCCTGATGTTAGGAGTTATTTATGTCTTTTGTACAAGAGTTCTTTGTCAGATGCATACGTCACACCTGTTTCCTCCAACTCTGCTGCTTGCATATCCATTCTATGAATAGCAGCTTCTGATTAACAGAAATTTTAATTTTAATGTGGCCCAATTCATCAATTTTTTTCTTTATATATGGTACTTTTTATATCCTATCGAATAAATATCAGCCTATAAAGAAGTCATGACATATTTTTTTGCCTTACATTTAAGTTTTTTGTTTTATCTTCTACCAAGACAATATTTTTCTGCCACAGATATAATTTTTTATGACTTCCCTACCTAGACAGAATTACTCCCTTTCCTGAATCTCTATAATAGCATGCATTACCTTTATTATCTCTATTAGATTACATATTACCTCAACTCATGTGTACTTTGCTATCCATCTTCTCTGTCTCATCCCCAAACTCCATTTACCCAATTACCTAAATTCTTCATGGTTTTTTCACTGAATCCTGGTCATGATGCCTCCTAAGTAACTCCAAAATGGGTCTGTTTTCTCTCCACCCTACCTGCTACCTCCATGGTCTAAACCTGTGATATCTGGAGTACTGTAATGGTCCCTAACCCACTTCAAATCTACTGGTATCTAACTAACCACACAGCAGCCAGAGAGATCTGCCAAAATAGCAATCTCTTCCCGCTACTTCCTTCTTAAAAACCCTTCCGTGGTGCCCACTATTCTCAAATGATTGTTGGACTCATTAACGTGCTTCAGAGGCCTTCCAGGATTTGAAGGACTATTTGTCTTTCTCACCATTGATGTCTTTGCTCTAATCTCTTAAAATCTTCCATTTCCTTGAATGCCCTTTCAGAAAGAGTCTTCTGTCTGCCCCCATTTTCATGCCCCTACCCTCCTCTTCATTCACATCTCATTCTATATGCATCTTTTTAGCAGGAAAATTTCCCTGACTCCCTAAGAAGCTAAGTCCCCACACTATCTGGTACCATAAAACCCTCATAATTTCTCTCCATCAAAACCCATTATGCCTATTATTGTTTGCTTAAGCCCACTTCTCTGATAGAGTGTATATTTCCTTGGGGCAGAAACTCTCTGTCTTATTTACCTCTATAACCTTGTGCCTAGCTCAATGCCAACATGGGTTCTTAAAAAAAGTACTGAACTGAGTTGAACTGATGTGGGCTCACAAGCCCAGCTTTTAGCATCAGATTTGGCTCACAGCCTCAGAAAAGATTTGGTGATTCATCACCTTCATAAAACCCTAGAATCAGTATTGAGAAGGACTTAAAGACCACCTACTTCAACTGCTCAACCCAATGGAATATTGATTAAATAATCTCCATAACATTCCTACCAAACATCATCTACTTAGAACTCTCTAATAATAGAAAGTTACTACATTCTACGTTTGGACATGAATGTGCATTAGAAGGTCTGTTTTGTACTGAGTTTAAACTAAGATCTATTTATCCCAGTTAAAAGCTGGGATCCTTATAATTCCCCTAAAGTAGATCAGATTTGGTCCATTTTATCCATATTAATGAGTTTGATCATTTTTCCTGAAATACAAACCCTTTTGCTCTAAGTCAGCCTTCTTTAGCTGTTTATCATAACACAGCCTCCATAGGTAGACTGCAGTTTCTTAATGTCCCTCCTGAAGTGCGATGCCCAGACTTAGACTCAATCCTCCAGGTGTATTTTGGACAATCTAGAACAGGACAAGGCTGTCATCTCCTTTTTTGTGGATAACATACTTCTGATAGTGTAACTAATGGCAGTCCTGGGTTGTGGAGTTCTAAAGTTTATACTATAGTCACCTAATGAGAAAAGGAATTCAAAATTGCATGTGAAAGTGAGTAATTAGAATGAGAAAACTCAGGAATTTAGAAGGTGAAGGAGCCCATTGGGTTCATGTCCCTAAGATCTTAATAACGTCCTATTAACATCCTGTTAATCCCTTCTAAACGTTCTCCAATTAGAACTCACATCTCTCTCCACCAACACGCATAGCAGGGTTATCAAATGCAAACCAGAGCCGAACATCCTGGGTTTAAATCCTTCTCACTCTTCACAAAGTGATAACTATAGGTGTCACAGGAACTGATAAGGTGAAAATCCTGGCATGCCCAATGCAGATCCACCTTTCATATTTACTTCTTACCAGGTATTGCCAAACCCATGTGCCCAATCTTCTCTACTAAAGGGGGCTGGGTTATTCTTCAACTACTGGAAGGTTTGTTTTGTTGTGTTTTAACACTAGCCACTTTCTCGGCCTGAATTTCCCTGAGGGATTTTTCATTCATTGCTCCCAAGTGACATTAGCAAGCCCTCCCTGAACCATTTCTAACCATCTTCTATAACAGGAGCATGGATCAAAGAGTTGCCAAGGAACCAGAATATAAAAGTCATATTAGGCTCTGCTTAGCTCGACCTGCCAATCTCAACCTAACTTTCCTCCCACTGACATTCAGAATCACCTTTATCAGATACCTTTCTAGAAGGTCACATTTTTAGTCTGCTCAAAGTTAAAACATGTCATTTTTTTTTCTGACTATAAAGTTAATACATGATCATTTGGGGAAAGTTAGAAAAAGAACTGGAAGCCTAAAATAAATCATCCGTGACCTAACCATCCAGAGGTGAGCTCTCTTAACATTTTGGCGTATCTCCTTGCAATGTAATTTTTCCTTATCTTTTTACATTGTTAGGACTATGCCATGCATTCAATCAGAAACTATCCATTTTTAAATTAACATTATATCAAATAATTTCCACATATTCTTGGAAGTTCTTATAAACAACAGTTTAGTACCTGCCTAATATGATGTTGTATGGATGCTACATAATTCATATAGTATAAATTATGCTTTTAAAAATGACATTCTATATTAAAGCCTTATCAATGTTTTCCCTATAATCTCTCTTTATGATGAATTAATAAGGGTAAAATTACTATTTTAAAGGGCATATTTTCTTTAAGGTCATGAGTATACATGGAGCACCTGATATGTAAGACATTATACAAATACAAATATATACATTAACAAATTAACCCCATAATTGCTGCATTCTCCCTACCAGTACCTAAGAGTATCTGTCTCCTTAAAACATTGAGTAAACAATGAACCAACACTGAGTATTCTCATTTGTAAATCCTGCTCAGAGCACACACACACATACACACACAGGTATGTATACAAATATACTGAAGAGTACAAATCATTAACAAAGAAGGAGAAAGAAGATTATACAGAACCGAAATGTCTATAAAATGCCCTATAGTTCTTGGAATTCAAATAACACCTGCCAAAATACATTGAAAATCAAATGCAATAATGTAGGAAATGTGGACGATGTGATATGAAACTTTAATATATATTAGATTTAGAGCATCTATAAATAACACTCTTTAGACATTTTCATCAAAATAATCAGATAAAGCTCACATTTCCATACTTTATATCTGAAAACTAATTAATAACCATGAGTTTAATGTCCTGTATGTGTTAAAATTTTTAAAAAACAATCACATCATAACTGTCTTCATTTCCCTACTTGTAGTTCTCGTTGGTGCCTCTGTCTCTCATCGCCTTTGTTCTCCCTCCACATCATACCTCCTAAGAATCCCGGGCCCCCTTCCCACCACTTCCACAGGCACCCTACCTTGAAGATGCAGTTTGCTCTCCGTGCTTTGCAGAAGGACGGAACTCACAGAGTCCAGATTGTCATAGCTGTTACAGCCCAGAGGCCCAGTGCGTGTCTCTGTGACCTGGAATGGGCATCAAGGGTGACAGATGTGAGACCCGTGCCCTTGTCTGGGACAGACCCTGCAGAGTCAGCCACGGCAGAGCAAGCCAGCAAAGTCCTCTGGCCTGAGCCAGTGACCACTTCCTGCACGCCTTGCCCATGCCCGGCTATCACCACACGGATGTTGGGGTAGCAGAGCCACTGAGCACACAGACTGGAGCCATTCCTGGTTTTCACTTCCCAAGGTCACTTTAAGTACCAGGGCAGTGAACAGGCTGAAAGCACTGTAGCATATCCTAAAGCATGGGCTTTGGGGTCAGGAGAATCACTGTTCAGTCCTGGCTGTGTCATTTATTTTCTGGATGACCTAAGAAAGTCATTTAACTTCTCTGAGCTTCTGCAACCTGAAGCTGGTAAATGCTTCCCAGGAAGGATGTGAGACAAGACAGGATGAGTTTAAGTGCCTGACACATGGCGTGTGTTCAGAAATGGGCATCTTACCACCAAAAATCTTTATACATTTTAATGAGTCCATATGCATTATTATCAGGCAAGAACTATAAAAGAATCTCCAGTTTCCAAAAAGGCATTGCTTTTGGGCACAATCAGTACCATGACAGAACAAAACACCCCAATCCTAGGGTGGTGGTCTGCAGGACATTGGAAATACTTAAGGTGCAAACAAGAGGGGGACAGGTGCTCAAAAAGATAACTTGGAAATAAGAACGGTTTCCAATGAAAAGAGGTTTCTTCATACTTTCAGCCTCCGCTTCCCATTTTGTAACACAGTCACGTGCAGGGCTGTTTTGAGGTTTGCATCCAGCCATAAAGACACAGCACCCATTGTCACAGGGAAGGACAGCTTGGGAGACAGCCACTTGAGTCTCCAAATGCCAACATGGCCGTTTCCAGCTGGGAAATCTTGCATCACTAACTTGCCCCTTACTCAGCCTCAACTTCCCTACCTAGAAAATGCTAGTAATCCTCTTACCCATCTCAATATGTAAAGAACCATTATATTTGTGAAGGGTTTAGCACTTAGGAGACAGTATATAAATGGAGAACTACTAGGCTTTGGTTTTTTTTTTAATAATCTATTGTTCTTTCTACAAAATAATAGCAGAGTTTTTATTGAATGAGACTCAAAACTACCAATTCATTTTGCCAGAGATATCCTGGGGAAGAAAACCAGGGGCAAAACTTCCCCACCCGGGTGAGTGGCTCCTCTCATTGCTGACAGTGAGGCAATTCCAGCCAGCTGGGTCTTCAGGTAGTGTCAAGGAATGGCAAGAATAATCCAAGCCCCAGACTGTGTGGAGAAGACAGTGCCACTGTAACCGCGGCTTCTCGAGTGGCCTCTGTGCAATTGCTCTGAGGAAAGTCCTCGGAAGGAGGCAGGCTGCACTTCCAGGGTGCATAAAAAAATTAGTTTCAATGTCTCAATCCTGCATCCTGTCCAGCAGGGAGAGAACCATTTGGTGATAATGAAAACCAAGCCTTTGCTTCCCTCCGACTCTGACGGCTTCATCAAGATCTGTCTCTCTTGCCTACTTTCCTCACAAAGCAATGCCCCCGATACAGGCAGTTCTTCCAGGATAGCTGCCTCTTTGTCCATCTGATTTACTTCCCTCTTTCCTGTCTCTCTCCTCCAGAATGCTCTCACCCCCCACATTTTTCTCTTCCCTTGGTCAGTTTCTGACTCATCTGCCTGAGCCTCCCTCCACGCGAGCCCCCACCTCTCCACTTTTTCTCTAAAGATACGTGTGAAAGTCTTAATATAAGGCAAAGTCTGCATTTTATTCAGAAATCAGACTGAAGACTGAGAAGTAAAATGCAGGTATATAATCTGGTTTAAGAAAACTTGAGATGAAAAACATCTGCACTGAAACCCTCAGAAGAACTAATCCTTTATATCAAAAATGTCCTCCCTCATTCTCTTTATAAAGGTAATCTCTCAATTGCATTTAAGATGGAATCTATTTTGTTTTGTTTTGTTAAAATTCTTGTTCTCTGAGGCATTGAATTGAAAATCTAGAGCTGCTCCAGTTAATGTAGCTATTTAAATTAAAATTAATTAAAATGAAATAAACTTACAGACTTAGTTCCTCAGTGACCACATTTCAAGTGCTCTATGGCCCCAGGTGACTAGTTGCTGCTGCCTTGCCTGCACAGATATAGAGCATTCCCATCACCTTGCAAGGGTCTAGTGGACAGTGCTGGCCAGACTGCCTGTTTTGTAAATAAAGTTTTATTGGAACACAGCCTCACCCATTTGTGTTGGTCCATAGCTGATGTCTGCACTACAGCTGCAAAGTTGAATTGTCGCAACAGAGATGTTATGAATTGCAAAGTCTGAAATATTTATTACCTGGCTTTTTTCCAGAAAATACTCACTGGCCCCTGGTCTAGAGAGTAGAGTTCAAGTCCCTGTTAAGGTACCCTAACTGTTTAACCCTGAATAAGTCTTTAACTCTTGGATCCTCAGTTTTCCCATCTGCAAAATAGGAGAAGGGGTGGAGAGGATGAAAAACACAGGTTTTACAAAATTGCTGATGTAGCCATCAGTAATCTGGCTCTTGCTAGGTCTGTGACCTTGTGAAAATCATTTACCCAGTGTAACCTGTTTGTTCACATAGAAATGGAACCTGAAAATCATCCACACAGGAGAACTTTGAGAGTGAATGAGAAGATAGTTGATAATTATGCCACGACCACAGCCAGGGCTGCCCCAGGATATCAGTACCTAGGGTCACCCTAATGACCAGGGGCATGGGCACTTGGCAACATCTGTCACAGTAGTTGGCAGGGGCACTGCTAGCTCCATGGGTATGAAGCCAGGGATTGTATCTGCCCTTCAATTTGCAGAATACCTGGGCTGTTGTCTTAAGGCCTTACCACACAACCCACCCCCAGGCCGCACCTTGATTGCTCCAGTTGATATCTGGATCTCATGGAGCCTCCTCATGGTGCCATCACGGTCGACAAAGTAGGACGATGCAAGCTGGTGCAGAGCTTCCACACTTTGAGTAGCATTCCCTGACTTCCTGTCGAGGCGACTTTTGTCCATGTACATGGTCAAGGCCTCCTCCCCTGCAAGGAAAAGGAAAGTTCAGGCAGTCTGTCAAACTTTGGGGAGGGTGCAAAGGCTCCAGGGTCTTGATGCTGAAAATAGCCTCGAACTGCCTACTAATTTTGCCCGAATTTTCTTCTGCCTCTGAAAAGCAAAAGCACAGTGAAAAGAGCAACAGTGCAGAGGTGGCTGTAAGCACCAAGCTCCATAGGATGAGGATCGTGGGAAAACTTGGTTTTTTCAACTATGTCAAGTCCAGCCCCTACGAATCTACTTCACAGTTCTCGCCAACGCCATCTCTAAAACACTCGCCTCCTCTCTGAGGCACAGTCTCTCCTGCACAATGGTGGATTTGCCATAGATGACCCCTTCCCCTCTGTTCCTTGTGTTGCCTCATCATCACTCGTTCCTCTTTCCTCTTCTTACCTCTTCTCCCTCCTCTTTCCCTCCTTCTTTCCTCCTTCCTTTCTTCTTCTCCTTCAGCTACCCCTTCCTAGGCAGATGATGGACGGATGATGGGATAGCTGAAGAGATGATGATAGATAGAGAACAGCTAGAGAGATAGATTAGATAGATAGATGGATGACGGGATGGAGGGCTGGCTAAAGAGGTAGATTAGACACAAATGATAAATAAGACATAATGACAGATACAGATAGTGAAAACTTGTGCCTATGGAGAGAGGAAAAACTCAACTATCATCTCTATGAAGTCAGACATTACCTATATTAACCAGTGCTTTATCCCTTGTACAAAGTCCAGTGCTTGGCATACAGCGATAGTAAGTAAATAATGCATTTTTTCGTTCACTCAATAAATATTCTTAAATGCCTACATATGCCAGGCGCTGTGCTTCTGAGAGTGCAGTAGAGAAGAGGTTCGGTCTGGGGGAAATGGGAGATGACAAGAAAGTTAGGTATTTGGAGGAAGGGAGATTAGAGACAGAGAGAAAGAGAGACAAATACATAAACATATCTTTTCCTGCATAATGTTTTCCTTAAAAATACATGCATAGATTACTAACAGTACTAACTTATGGTGCCTTTTATTTTGAGTAACAAGGTGTATCACCAGAACTTCAGAAATGAGGGTCCAGAAATGCCTACTAAATAGATCCAATCACTGTGCATCTGGTTTCACTGTCTACTAACTGTGAACTTGGAGATGCTCCTTAACCTTTCTGTTCCTCAATTTATTCATAAACAAAATAGGAGAAGAATAGCATCTGTTCCATAGAGCTATTCAGAAAAATTAATCAATTAATGTTTGTAAGGTCCTTACATTAGTGTCCAGTTTATTGCAGCAATCAAAATCACCTGGAGTAGTAGTAGAAGGCAGACCTCCTGGATCGGCACTAGCTGTCTGAGCAAGTTCCTCACCCTCCCTGATGCTTCAGTTTCTCCACGTGCAAAACTGGGGATCCTAATCATAGGGTGGGTGGGAGTAAATTCATTAATTACATAAAGTGCCTGAACCCTGCCTGGCATATAGCACACACTATGGGAGTGACTGTTCACTACCGTGATTGGATTACTGCAAAATATCAATTGCATATCCTTACATCTAATCAATCCAGTAAGAGGACGGTTGGAGTACGAACACTATCAATATTCCCTGAGGACAAAAGCCTGACATCTAAAATAAATGCAATGTATTTAGAATGATGATTACCTTTGCAGTTAAAGAGAAAAAACAATTTGCTTACAGGACAGCGGTTATCCTAGGAAGTGGGTTCTGACCCGCAGATAATTCCTCTGCCTCAATCCCTCCATAACTGCTTCTGGAACACAGTTCTATTCAGTTATTTAGAGTTCTACACATGCAGCCTCCAGTCTGTCTTTTCAGGGTTGTCTCCCACCATGCATTCCTGCCAAACCATTCCTTCTGCCTCCATCATTTGTTCTTGCCAATTTCTCCCAGGCTTTTCCTCAAATTCTTTTCTCTGCTTGAACTGCCATTCTGTCCCTCCCTAAATGTCTGACTGTTGAAATCCTATCCAGCTTTCTAAGCCCAATCCAAATGTCATTTTCTCTTACTTATCCTCCCCTGTTCTTGACCTGAAAGACTCCTAAACACTCGTCAAAACCCACTGAGGCATCACCTTCTTGGTGAGCTTTCCCAAATCCCACTCTCACTCCAGGAGAGATGTAATCACCTTCCCTCTATCATTCTCTAGCCTGGCCATTCAGTTTAGCTCAGCGGGCAGGCACAAAGCATTTTGTGTGCACTGAGCACTTTGGCAGGCACTGGGAGTGACAAATGAATAAGATATTGTCCCCATTCTAGAGTCACTGAGTGACTACAAGCATGCTGTCCAGTAGGGAGCCACTGGCCAGAGTACCTATTGAAATGTGGCTAGTCCAGATTGAACACGTAGGTGTGAACCACCCAGCAGATTTCTAAGATCTGGAAAATAAAAAAGAAAATAAAAGAAAAAGAAAATACCTCACTAGTAACTTATTCTAATGATTATATATTGAAATATTTGGGATATGCTACGTTAAATAAAATGCATTGTTAACTTGATTCTCCCTCTTTTTCTCTTTAAAATTTAAAATTGTAGTTGTGAAAAAGTTTGAAATGGCATTTGTGGCTCATATTCTATTTCTACTGGACAACACTGGTCCAGGGAGAGAGAGACATGAGGGGATCATTTCACTATGCCGGATGACTAGTGAAGGTGGAGGGATACCCAGAGTGGACCGCAGCCCTGGAGGAGGGTGCCCACACCCCTGTTAATAATGTATACACCAGGCAGTGATGGTCCGTTCTCTCCAGTTGCATTTCTTCTCGGTCTGCTCTCCCCTGAACGAGTGCACCATTTCTTCTGCTTGTTGGGCCTTTGCTTTTCTGTCTTCTCCTGGCTACCTTTTACTCCTCTCTCAGGTATCACCTAAGACGGCATCTCTTCTGGGAAGCCTTCCCTGAATCCCCCACTCTTTATTTAAACTAGATTAAGAACCCTACCCACGTGCTCCTACAGGCTCTTTCATTTCTCCAATGCGTCACCTCTCACTTTTCCTGGTGATTGTTTAACGGCCTGTCTCTTTCTGTAGAGGAGAAGTCCTGTGAGGTCGAGGAGTATGTAAGAGTCTTCCACCATTTCGTCGTCATTGTCTAGCACAATACAGGCATGTATTACATGCTTAACAACTGATGAGGGTATTTATGGGTGAATGAATAAATACAGAAGTGATCCAGCTCTACAGTGTGTATCGATTGACATATCTGCCTCAATTACTAAACTGCAGTCTTCCAGTAAGAAGATCCATCATCATCGAAATTGACGTCTGGTTTCCACAGCCTAGAATAAGACACTCATGTTTGCATTTTCCCATGAAGCTTACATAAGTAATGCAGGAGGACATGAACGTCCATCCATTGGACTCCATAGTGACCTGAGTAGATGTGGTTTAACAGTGACTTTATATATAATTAGACTTTGGCCTCCAAAGGCAGTGGGTAGTGGCCTTGGAGAGCAAGAGCTCTACCTGATTTTCCTTTGTAATGTTTCTAATACATTTCCTGGGTCAGATGAAGAGTCCAGTAGGGAGCCACTGGCCAGAGTACCTATTGAAATGTGGCTAGTCCAGATTGAACACGTAGGTGTGAACCACCCAGCAGATTTCTAAGATCTGGAAAATAAAAAAGAAAATAAAAGAAAAAGAAAATACCTCACTAGTAACTTATTCTAATGATTATATATTGAAATATTTGGGATATGCTACGTTAAATAAAATGCATTGTTAACTTGATTCTCCCTCTTTTTCTCTTTAAAATTTAAAATTGTAGTTGTGAAAAAGTTTGAAATGGCATTTGTGGCTCATATTCTATTTCTACTGGACAACACTGGTCCAGGGAGAGAGAGACATGAGGGGATCATTTCACTATGCCGGATGACTAGTGAAGGTGGAGGGATACCCAGAGTGGACCGCAGCCCTGGAGGAGGGTGCCCACACCCCTGTTAATAATGTATACACCAGGCAGTGATGGTCCGTTCTCTCCAGTTGCATTTCTTCTCGGTCTGCTCTCCCCTGAACGAGTGCACCATTTCTTCTGCTTGTTGGGCCTTTGCTTTTCTGTCTTCTCCTGGCTACCTTTTACTCCTCTCTCAGGTATCACCTAAGACGGCATCTCTTCTGGGAAGCCTTCCCTGAATCCCCCACTCTTTATTTAAACTAGATTAAGAACCCTACCCACGTGCTCCTACAGGCTCTTTCATTTCTCCAATGCGTCACCTCTCACTTTTCCTGGTGATTGTTTAACGGCCTGTCTCTTTCTGTAGAGGAGAAGTCCTGTGAGGTCGAGGAGTATGTAAGAGTCTTCCACCATTTCGTCGTCATTGTCTAGCACAATACAGGCATGTATTACATGCTTAACAACTGATGAGGGTATTTATGGGTGAATGAATAAATACAGAAGTGATCCAGCTCTACAGTGTGTATCGATTGACATATCTGCCTCAATTACTAAACTGCAGTCTTCCAGTAAGAAGATCCATCATCATCGAAATTGACGTCTGGTTTCCACAGCCTAGAATAAGACACTCATGTTTGCATTTTCCCATGAAGCTTACATAAGTAATGCAGGAGGACATGAACGTCCATCCATTGGACTCCATAGTGACCTGAGTAGATGTGGTTTAACAGTGACTTTATATATAATTAGACTTTGGCCTCCAAAGGCAGTGGGTAGTGGCCTTGGAGAGCAAGAGCTCTACCTGATTTTCCTTTGTAATGTTTCTAATACATTTCCTGGGTCAGATGAAGAGCAGATGTTCAGCTGTCATTCAATGGTTAAATGGGTGGATGGATGGAAGGGTGGATAGATGACTGCATGGATAGCTGGACAGATATACGGGAGGAGAGATAAATGATTAAGTAAGTGAATATGCTAGAAGTTAGTGCCAGAAGGCAGAGGAAATAAATATTCTAAGTGTTAGCTCAGGCTCTCCAAGGGGCCTGTGAAAGAGAAGGTGAAACCAGCCCAGTCCCTTTGGACTGAAAACTGACAGAAGCAACCCTTAGATCAAGAGGGGTTAATGGGCTTCTTGCTGCATTATTAAGACTTAATTTCTTGTTTATTAAGAGAATGTTCTGTTTAGAGTTGCTTTCCCATTTGGGCATTCCTGCAATTTGCCTCTTCACCCCACGCAGGCCTTTCCTCAGTCTCTGTGCTCTAGGGGCTTTGCCTTACTCTCTGCAGCAAAATTTTTCGGAGGGGAACAAAGTGGAACTCAGACCCACAGGCAATGGGAGATGCGGTGGGAGCTGACTGCTTTCCCCTTACGTCACTAGGGGATATGCTCCCAGATGGGGGCGGGGATTCCTGGACTGTAGGACATCTCTCATTCTTTCCTTCGGAGTCCCTGTGACTTTAGTCTCAACCTTCCTCTTGGTCACGGGGAGATCTCCCAAAAGGCAGGGTGTAGAATAATGAATATATAGACAAACACACAAGTACGCAACCATACATTATGAGCCTCATGCATAAGATGATTTCCATGCCATATGCACATACCTGTGCAAGCTCACATATACACATATAAATGTAACCTGAATTCACATGCATGAGTCCCATGTGTCTGCATGTGCACATTGCCTATGTATGTATGCCTGCATATAGATGAACTTACATCAAGGCATAGGTAGACATTTGTACACATCTGTCTATGTAGGTAAGCGTGCACTCCCACATACACATGCAAACTTAATCATACATATCACATAGATACCCAGGCTCCAAGGTGCTTCCTTTGGCCCTAAATATGATTCTCTGAGGGACTGAGGGAAACTGCTATCCTGTTTTCCTTTGTGTCATTGCAAACCCAAAATATTTCTCTTCACCACCCTCCATGAGAAAATCACCCATACTAAGTACTTTGAGTTTAATCAATTTCACCAAAACTTGAGGATCCCATGGAAATGTCTTAAACATCAGCCCTCCCACCACTTCCACCTCCTCCTTCTCACTCCCTCTCCTTTCTCTTCCTTCTCCCTCGGGAGCCAAACAGATGCATTTACTTGTCCTACATGCGACAGTTTAAGAATCATCTTTTGTTGTTTGAATATGCCCTTAGGAACTCACCTGACATCTCAAACAGCTTATCAGAGCATTTCTCCTAAATGAACATGGTGTTCTTCTTAGGAAAACATTGTAGTGAATACAGTTTTCTGCACCTCTTTGTATTGAGATGGAAAACTGATATCTGGATAGGAAAGTGAATTTCTCAATGTCTCCTGTTCATCTAGAGAATGGCAGGAATGGGCATTAATCCTGAGTCCCCAGGCCCCTTACCCCAGTAATGGCATTCATAATAGGAATAACAACAACAACAGCAATAGCAATGATTTGTTAATTGCCAAACACTGTGCCAAGATATCCTTTTATCTAATCATCACAACATGAAGGAAGTGCTATTATTATTTCTATTTATAAAAGAGGAAACTGAGGTTTAGAGAAGTGGGCACCCTCAGTGCCAAGATGACACAAAACAAGGGGGAACAGGAGGCAGGATTGGAACCCCTGTGATCAGACTCTAGAGCCTGCCCTTCCTTTCTCTACAGCTTACCAAGCCTTCTCTCCCACTGCAGGAGGAGGCTCTTAAGAAGTACTTTTCTATGAACGAATGAATGAAATGATGATGTAAAAGGACCTCATACAGCATCTGGCACATTGCATTCAATGACCAGTAAATCTTTTCCCCTTCTCTCTCCCCACTCATCCGTGTTCAAGGATGGAGAAAACATTTAGGGCTTGCTGTCCAACACCAGAACTTAATCCAAAGCTTTGCATATTTTAAAATGTTGTGCTGTAAAAACAGGAGAGGACAAGGCTCTGTGAATAATTCACCACCTTGCCTTGGAGAAATTAAAAATATATTTCACTGCAAAAGAAAGATCTTTGTTATTTGGGACTTCCAGGGACTAGGATAGAACACAGCTTCTAATGGAAGAACTGGATGGGTTGCAATATTTTTTTTTTTCCAAGTGAAATGGGAGGTGGAAGGAGTTCAAAGAAAAGGGTATGTGTAAACGCAATACCCGGTGTAGAAGTGATTTCATTTCCCTTTACGATAAAATAGAATATGTACTACATGATTTAACATTCAAAGTCCTGCTTAATCTCTGACTAGCAGCAGGCAACAAATATACAGCCACTGGCTGGTGGTTTGGGGAGTGAGTGGGCCAGTGGGAGAATGAGTTGTTTAAAAGAATATCTGATGCTGGGGCAAAAATAATGCAGGCTTTGTGGACAAAGGAATATCCTAAGTTAAACATTAAGGTGAACTGTTTTGTTTTTAGTTTCCATAAACTGAATTAAAAAAAAAAACTCTGAGCTTTGTCACTTATTAGCCATAGATCTTCTTAGTCTCAGCTTCTTTGTCTTTAAAATGGAGATAATTTGACTTAATTTGCACTTTTTGAGAACTAAAAACAACATATGATGCCTACTGTGGGCAAATACTCAATGGCAGTGGCAGCTGATTATTGTAAGAATGAGTGAATTTACTCAACCAGCCTCCCACATTCCCCACAGTATCAAATTCCTAATCTGGTTTTCCTTGAAATGTACACTGGGCACTCAGCTTAGAAAGCTGCACCATCTTCCTTCTGCCTAGCCAACTCCTCTCGAGCTAACCTGTCACTTCCTCCAGGAAGTGTGTACTAACCACTCCAGCTTGTAGGGTTCACCCTTCCTCTGAGGGAGATCAGCTGGTGTACCTCAGTCCCCCAACCCTGCCTCCATCAATTCACTGATCTGGTTTAGTTGGGATGGGTCATATCTAAGTGCACCGTATAAACTCCAAGCTCCCTGAACAGGTGGCCCGCGGTGCTCCACCACCAAAGAGGCTCTCCCAGTTCAGTGGACCTGGTCATCATGGCAGAAAACTGATGTCCGAGGGATTGTAGCCAATAATATGAAATGATGCATGCAGGTGTGATCCAGAATCATCTAAATGTACTAATTGCACCCAGTTCCTTTTGTTTTGCATTTTTGTTTCTCCCGCTTATCCTCCTGTCTTCTTATTCCCTTAGAGATTGATTGGACTTGAAGGGGAGGGATGGGTTAGGCTGAGAAGGGTGGAACAAGTGGTCTGCTTTCCTTCTAACCTGCTCCAAGTTCATGTAAGGTATAAAGGATAGTTGTGTATAACATGATAACCTCAAGTTATCAGTCCCCAAAGCAGCCTTAAACAAAGGTAATTCTCTAAACAACACCTGAAGTTTAATTATTTCCCCATATTAGACTACATTTCAAAGGCATAATATAATTAATTAAATATTCCCAATGAACTGAGCTAATTCCAAGGTGAAACCGTATTTTCTTCGAAGCTAGGGAACTGTCAGGTTAGACCATCCCGAGAATGGCATCATCTGCTCTGATAACGATCACAACCAAGACAATTTGGTTTACCTGCCAGTATAGGCTGTCGAGGGATGTACGATGGCAGAGATGTTCATTCGGCTTTGATCCTAGGGAATTCCACCCTCTCCACCCAGAACTGAAGTTATCACAAAACTAGACACCAGTGGCTGCTGACCTACCTCCCAAGGTGGCAGAGATGAGAAGGTGGGTGCCGTACTTTTTGATGATGGTATCGATGAACTGCTGGGTGGTGGGTCTCCTGCCAAGCAGGCGGATGCTCCTTTGAAACTCCGGCATCAGGGGCACTGGATGACGGACCAGGTCTCTCCTCTCAATGGCTGTGTTCCTCACCTTCCAACGGGCAAACTCCCTGGGCAGGAGAAAGGAGTGAAACCCCTCAACTTACACCTCTGCCCCCAAGCCAGAGAGTCCACCCAGCCGTCCCATCCAGGCATTTTTCTTTAGGTGAGAGAAAAACAACAATTATTTGTAATATTTGTCAGATGGTACTTAGACCTGGAGCTCTCAATCCTCTTTGGCCAACAAATATTTATTGAGTATTGCTTGTGTCATGTTGCTTACAGAGCATATGAGGGATACAAAAACCCCTGTGTCTAGTTGCTTAGCCATCTCTCTCACTATTTGTGAATGACACCATAGAGATGCAATTTTCTTGGGTATGTGTTACATAGAAGGATTCATAAGAATGCTAGCTGGATGACTAAATAAACAAATGAGTGGATAGACGGAAAGGAGGGGTGAATGCAGGTACTATATAACAATAGGCCAGACCTAAGGAGCAAAGCAGCTTGGGACCTGTTCTAGACGATTCCAAAATCAAATAATTGGCTCGGAGCTCCATTTTATGCAAAAATCTAACATGCACTCATTGGAAGAATCTACTATTTGGAAGAAATTAAGCTATGTTCTAAAGATCATGTGGAGAAACTTCCAATTTTCCCTTCACTAATGATAGAGGAGATCAAGACTGAGGAGCATTGAACTCGGAAGTGCAATTCAGGGTCTCACTTTGCCTCCTGTAAACTATGCGGTGCAGTCTTGGGCAGAATATGCCACTTCTTTGCACCTATGTTTCCTTATCTGTAAAATTCAATTAATAGTATCTATTTCCTATCTCTGGTGCACAGATTACATGGAACATAGGGTGTGAAAATGTCTTTGGAAGCTGCCAGGCACTAATCTAATGTGAAAGATAGTTTTATAACTTTATTTCCTCACAAATTTCCAGACATGTAAATCATTAAACGTTCATGAACAATGAACAAGGAGCATGCAAACTGAATACAAGTAGAAATTTAAAGGATCTTGGTTCAGGTTGCTTTTGTTTTAATAACGACCTCCCTTACTTCCAAAGATGAAGCTCTCCCTGGAACCACTAGTTCTCTGACCTGCCTGAGTTACAAGGTCAAGGTCCCCGGAGAAAAACATATTGGCCAAGAGGGTTGTAAGGTCAGCCTAGATAAATGACAGAAACCAGTATTTAATGAAAAGGTCTCTCTCCTACCCCAAGATGGGAGAGCTGAATGAAGGAAGGGGCATGGAGCATGAAGACGCAGAACAGGGTGGGAATCAGGCCAGAATATACCCTGTAGTTCTGTGGGTGAGTCTGACTCCTAATGCAGAGGAAACAGTCTGAAAAATGCTTTCCCAAGCCTCACAGCTTACAGTCTGTGTATGCTTAACTCATAACATAGTTCAAATTCTAAATAAAGTCAGTTCAGTACCTTTCTGTCATAGGTACCTATTAAGTTCATCAGCTGCTCTCGATGAACCTTCTTCATAAGGCACCTACTAAGTGTGGGGTGTGATGTGTACAGGAAGGGGGGCAGACACATCACAGTCACAGTCCCATGTCCTTAAGAAGTTATACATTTGGCAGGGAAGATATTTCCTGTTTATTGTGGATCAGCTTCACAGGGGGGATCATATCTGAACTACAGTTGAAGTTCAATTGGGATAAACAGAAATATGGTTTAAAAAAAACCCACAACTCTCCACATAAGCAGGGGCAGAGCGAGTTGCAGGGGATAAAGAATACCTCATGGGAAGGGCTGAACAGGAAGGGAGGTGTATGAAGAAGGGTATGTGACCAGAGATGAGACGGAGCAGCAGGTGGCCAGGTATGGGCACAGGGCAGGAGACTTGTGAGCCCGCTGACGAGAATTTTGTAGGTGTAGTAGGTGACATGTGACATGGCTCCCCATGGTCCCCACACCCTGGTGTTCACTCCTGTGTTTTATCCCCTCCCCTGGAGTGTGGGCTGGACTGGACCCAGTGACTTGCTCCTAATAAAAGAAATGTGAAAGCTATGGAATATTACTTTCATGGTTAGTTTACAAAATATCATGACTTCCATTTTGCCTGGCCTGTGTGTGTGTGTGTGTGTGTGTGTGTGTGTGTGTGTGTGTGTCCCTCTTGCTCACTGCTGTGTTGTGAGATGCTCTATGGAGAGAGCCACACCGCAAAGAGCTGAGGAAAGCTTCCAGCCAAATGCTTCTGAAGAACTGAGACCTCACAAGGAGTGGGTTCTAACACTGTGTGAGCTGGTAAGTACATCCTTCCCAAATGAGCCTTGAAATGACGAACTCTACCTGGTGAGAGCAAGGTCACCCAGCTAAGCCACACCCAGGTCCCTGACCCACAGAAACTGGGAGATAATAAAAACTGTTGTATTCAGCTACTAAGTTGCAGGGCAATTTATTATTTAGCAATAGATGAGCAATAAAAGGCAATGAGAAATGTCAGATATTTCTAAGGGAAAAGGGAAAAAGAAATTTCCTCAGCAACTTATTCCTGAAATTTATAAACTTATATATATGCAATTATGAAATTTTATATACACATATAAACATACATTATAAGTACATAGTTACATGTGTGTGTGTGTGCATACACACATCTCTTCTATTTATAGTTTATGACCTTGGGTTACTACGTTTTTCAAATAAGTACAGTTATGTTCCTCAAAAGTAACATTTACACACAGAGCGGTTAAGCAACGTGTCAAACGTCACACAGCTAGTTATTGGTAGAGCTGGGAACAGAAAGCTGGTATTCTGATTCTTAAAATCACTCTTTTAATGTAGATATTGAGAGGTAGGATAGAAACCGTAAAACCTATATTGATGCAAAGGAATTATGCCACCACAACCACCACCAAATCACAAACCCATGATTCAATTCCTTTTGCTTTTTTTGTTTTTTTTTAACAGTCTCCACAGTCTTCATGTTCACAAGCTATACACCCAAGGTCTGCCATCTGTGCTGCTTCGGTGATAAAACTAGGGAGGAAGCTGATGCTGAGAACCTGGCTCCTCCCTCACAGGATGGCTGCGAAGCTCAAGTGGGGGGATATCTGTGACCTGCTAAGCACAGTGTAGGCACCCAGAAAGACCTGGAAAACTGGGGGTGTCACTGGGAAGCACTGACTCTGGGCCAGGCGCGCCCTTCAGCACCATGGACAGAGTTCCTAGTCCTAAAACTTGCATTTTACTGGATGAAGCTGGATGTTTAGAAAAGCTATTGAACTATGGCCTGCTGTTTGCAATGGTAATTTTAATCAGAGGGATCAAATAGGGAGGGTCTCTAATGCAGTCTGGAGGAAGAACTGGGGTGGGGGCTGGGGTGTCAAGTCTCCTGTACAAGTAAAATCTTGAAGAGAACATAGGATTTGGCCAGAGACAGGGAAAGGGCATTTCAGGAAGCTCCGTGTGCAAAAATGGAGGTGAAGAGAGGATAGAGCAGTTGGAGAGAGAGGAATGCATGTGTGTGTGCAGTGTTTGTGTGTGTGTAAGTATATGTGATACATACATGATATGTAGTAACAACAGAGAGGTTGTCAAGGACACATGACGAAGGGTCTCATGTGCCAAATTTATGTTGTTAGGTTTCAGTCTATAAGCTCTGTTCCTACTGGCCAAAAATCTACACTAATAACGTTCAGAGAATGAGTTTGTGTGACATGGTAACCATCATGGGGTGGTAGAAACAAAGACTGTAATAGTCACAGGATTCTATAGTTTTATCCTTTTCCAAAATGCACTTAAGTAAAAGGGCTTCACTGCATCTAGATCTACTCAGAAGAAGATTTAAATGTTAGAGCTAAAATGGTTGATTTATGTTTTCCATATTTATGCACCTACAATTTTTCCAGATATGAGGATATAGCAGTAAACAAACTGAGGTCCTGCTATACAAGAACTTAAATTCTGGTGAGAATGGGCAGATAAGAAGAAACAAACCTGTAACATATCAGATGGGGAGAAGGGCTATGAAGACAAAGCAGAGGAAGGAGGTTGAGATGCCCAGGGGTGGGGCAAGGGTCTGTTTTACATACATGGTCAGAAAAGGGCTTCCTGTTTGATGACACTGAAGGAGAGACTTGAAGGAAATGAGGAAGAGACCACTTGGTAGAAGATGACCTAGGAAAAAGGAACTGCAGGCAGGTGCAAAGGTCCTGAGGTAGGAATATGTTTGCCACGTCTCAGGAATATTGATGAGATAGGCCTCGATGAGTACATGACTAATCAGAGCAGATGAAAGACAGGGGAAAAAAGTAGTGAGATAAGGTGGGCAAAGATCTAAAAAGGCTATGTTATATTTCATGAAGACTTATTTTTAAATCCTAAGTAATACAGAAAGTCAAAAAATGCTTCTGAGCAATAACACAATCTGATTTACATTCTAAAAGAGGAGCAGTCAATCTTTTCTTCTGTTAAGGGCCAGATAGTAAATATTTTAGGCTTTGCAGCCACAGGTAGCTTGTACAAGTAGAATCTTGAAGGGACATAGGATTTGGCCGAAGACAGGGAAAGGGCATTTCAGGAAGCTCCATGTGCAAAAATGGAGGTGAAGGGAGAATCGCAGCTACTCGGCTCTGTCCTTGAAGTGTGAGCAGCCACAGATAATACATGGCTGTGTTCCAATAAAACTTTATTTATAAAAGTAAGAGGCGGGTGGGATTTGGCCCGCAAGCAGCATGACCCCTGTGCTAAAAGCATCACTCTGACCCCTTTCATAGAAATCATCAAATCCAACTCACTCAATTCATGGATGGGAAAACTAAACCTCAAAGACATCATTATTTGCTGAAGATCACA